CATGCAAGGCAAGCACTCTACCACTGAGCCACCTTCCCAGCCCCTCCATGAGACTCTTATCTCCAGTTAATCACCAAAAAGCTTGAAGGGGAGCAGTATTTTTTTTTTTTTTGGCAGTCATGGGGCTTGAACTCTGGGCCTGGGCGCTGTCCCTGAGCTCTTCAGCTCAAGGCCCGTGCTCTACCACTTGTGCCGTAGTGCCACTTCTGGTTTTCTGAGTGGTTTATTAGAGTCTCACAGATCTCCCTGCCTGGGCTGGCTTTGAATCTCAATCCTCAGATCTCAGCCTCCTGAGTAGCTAGGATTACAGGTATGAGCTACCGTTACCTGGCTAGGAGCTGTCTTAAGTGGTAGATCCCCAGCCTTGAGTGAAAAAGACAGCACTGAGTTCAAGCCCCAGTACACACACACACACACACACACACAAAAGAGTTGGGAGGGAGCCTGGGAAGGTGGCTCAGTGGTAGAGTGCTTACCTCACATGTATGAGGCCCTGGGTTCAATTCCTCAGCACCACATAAACAGAAAAAGCCGCAAGTGGCTCTGTGGCTCAGGTGGTAGAGTGCTCACCTTGAGCTGAATTGCTGAGGAACAGCGCCCAGGCCCAAAGTTCAAGCCCCACAACTAACCAAAAAAAAAAAAAAAAAAAGAGTTGAGGGCATGGCTTATAGCTCAAGTGGTAGAATGATAATAAGCACAAAACCCTGAATCCAATCCCAGTACCACCAATAGAATACAATAAATAAATGTAAATAAAATATCTTGGGGCTGGGAGTGTGGTTTATGGTAGAATGCTTGCCTAGCATGCAGGAAGCCTTGGGTTCGATTCCTTAGTACCACATACGCAGAAAAAGCCAGATGTGGCACTGCGGCTCAAGTGGTAGAGTGCTAGCTTTGAGCAAAAAGAAGCTCAGGGACAGTGCCCAGGCCCTGAGTTCAAGCCCCTAGGACTGGCAAAAATAAATACAGAAAGACTGCAAATAAAATATCTCTGTGTATGTGTGTGTGTGTTGTACTAGGGTTTGATAGTAATGGAGTTAGAAGTCAAGGTCTTGAATGTGCCCAAATTACCTGCCACATAACTCACACACCCTCAGTCCTTTTCCTTTTCAATATTTCTTTCTTTCTTTCTTTTTTTGGTCGGTCGTGGGGCTTAAACTCTGGGCTTGGGCGCTGTCCCTCAGCTCTTCAGCTCAAGGCCAGCACTCTACCACTTGAGCCACAGTGCCACTTCTGGTTTTCTGGTGGTTTATTGGAGATAAGAGTCTCATGGAGTTTCCTGCCTGGGCTGGCTTTGAACCATGATCCTCAGATCTCAACCTCCTGAGTAGCTAGGATGACAGGCGTCAGGCGTGAGCCACCGGCGCCCGGCTTCCCTTACAATAGTTCTTGAACAGCGCCTCACTTTTGACAGGGCCTCCCTATATTTACATTGCCTTCTATTCATACCTCCCACATACCTGGAATGGTTGACATGCTTGCTACCATCACCACACCCAGGTTTTTGTTAGTTGAAATGAGGGTCACACCAACTTTTTGCCTATGCTGGCCTCCAACTCCAAACCTTCCTATCTCAACCTCCCAAGTAGCTGGTATGTGTGTGTGTGTGTGTGTGTGTGTGTAGGGGGTGTATATGTGCATGTGCGCAGGTTGCCCACACAGGTGCGGATATGACACACAAATCAGAACTGGGGCTTGAACTCAGGGCCTGGACACTGTCCCTGAGCCTATCTGTGCTCAAGCCTAGCACTCTACTACTGGAGCCACAGTGCCACTTCCAGCTTTTTCTGTGTTTGTGGTACTAAGGAATCAAACCCAGGGCTTCCCGCATGCTAGGCAAGCACTCTACCACTAAGCCACATTCCCAGTTCCATGGGAACTATTCTTTAGCTTTTTAAAAATTTCCTCTTTGGGTCACAGCTCCATTTCTGGATTTTTGATGGTTAATTGGCAATGAGTCTCACAGACTTTCCTGCTTGGGCTGGATTTGAACTGAGATCCTCAGATGTGAGCTTCCTGAGTAGCTAGGGTTATAGGAATGAGCCACTGGCACCTGGCTTATTGTGATTTGTAAGCAATGACAGAACTCTCAATACAATAATTGCTTTGATGATACTAGGAGTTAAGAACTAGGAAAGACCTTTGGAAAGTTGAAGACTCAGTCAAGGAATAGCATTCCTAGAAGTGAACTTTTGCCTAGGCCAGCTAGCCCTATTGATTCTCAAAGGCTCATAACACTATCATCCAGCAGGTGGCACTAACTGCCCTTATTATACCTGAAAATTGCCAGCTAGATTGGTTCTTCTTTTTTTTTTTTTATTGTAAAGATACTATACAGAGGGTTACAGTTACATGAGTGAGGTAATGAGTACACTTCCTCTACCCCCTCCATTGTTTTCCCCCTACCATCCCCTCCCTCCCTCCCTTCCCTGAGGTTCTTTTTTTTTTTTATTGTGATTAAGTGATTACATAATTTCTAAGTCACAAGTTCATTCTAACTTTCCTGGAGCAAATTGTCTATCACAGTCTGTAATATATAACAGTGTTCACATGTTATATACCATATTTGTGATCAGCAACGTGGGGATATTTAGTAGTGGTTCAACCAGATGAGCGGGAGTTCTTTGTTTCTTAAGTCCTGTTAGTTTTGTCATATCACCTAACATTTTGGATTTAGCATCCACTTATCAGGGAGACCATGTACCGTTTGTCTCTTCGCTCTTGGCTTACCTCGCTCAACATATTCCTTCTAGCTCCATCCATTTCCCTGCAAATGCCATTATTTTGTCATTTCTAATGGCTGCATAATATTCCATTGTGTATAGATACCACAATTTTTGGATCCATTCATCTGTGGTGGGGCATCTGGGTTGTTTCCATATCCTAGCTATTGTGAACAGTGCTGCAATAAACATGGAGGTGCACGTGTCCTTGTATATTGGTTTCTGTTGTTCAGGGTAGATGCCTAGAAGTGGTATGACTGGGTCGTAAGGGAGGTCAATCTTTAGCTTTCTAAGGACCCTCCAGACTGCTTTCCAAAGTGGTTGTATAAGTGTACATTCCCACCAGCAGTGTAATAGGGTTCCTCTTTCTCCACATCCCCTCCAGCATTTGTCGTTGGCTGATTTGTGGATGTGGGACATTCTGACTGGGGTAAGGTGGTATCTCAGGGTTGTCTTTATTTGCATTTCCTTCACCACCAGGGATGATGAACATTTCCTCATGTGTTTCTTTGCCATTTTTATTTCTTCATTTGAGAAGTCCCTCTTTAGTTCTCTTGCCCATTTAGTAATTGGTTTGTTAGGTTTGGAAGGGATTAGTTTCTTGAGTTCCCTGTATATACAGGATGTTAACCCCTTGTCTGATATATTGCTGGTAAATATTTTTTCCCAATTAGTTGGTTGTCTTTCTAGCTTAGTTGCAATAGATTTAGCTGTGCAGAAGCTTTTTATTTTAAGGTAGTCCCATTTGTCGAGTCTCTCTCCAATAGATTGGTTCTTCTAAAAGAAGAAATTTCACCAGGAGCGAGATAGGCCAAGTCCCAGTGGGGCGCTGGTGGCTCAAGCTTGTAATCCTCGCTACTCAGGAGGCTGAGAGAGCTGAGGATCACGGTTCAAAGCCAGCCCAGGCAGGAAAGTCTTTGAGACTCTTATCTCCAATTAACCACCAGAAAACAGGAAGTGGCACTGTGGCTCCAGTAGTAGAGTGTTAGCCTTGAGCACAGACATGTTCAGGGACAGTGTCCAGGCCCTGAGTTCAAGCCCCAGTTCTGATTTGTGTGTCATGCCCTGTGGGCAACCTGCGCACATGCACACACACACCTTTACACACACACACACACACACACCAACTACTTGGGAGGTTGAGATAGGAAGGTTTGGAGTTGGAGGCCAGCATAGGTAAAAAGTTGGTGTGACCCTCATTTCAACTAACAAAAACCTGGGTGTGGTGATGGTAGCAAGCATGTCAACCATTCCAGGTATGTGGGAGGTATGAATAGAAGGCAATGTAAATATAGGGAGGCCCTGTCAAAAGTGAGGCGCTGTTCAAGAACTATTGTAAGGGAAGCCGGGCGCCGGTGGCTCACGCCTGACGCCTGTCATCCTAGCTACTCAGGAGGTTGAGATCTGAGGATCATGGTTCAAAGCCAGCCCAGGCAGGAAACTCCATGAGACTCTTATCTCCAATAAACCACCAGAAAACCAGAAGTGGCGCTATGGCTCAAGCGGTAGTCTGTTAGCCTTGAGCTGAAGAGCTGAGGGGTCAGTGCCCAGGCCCAGAGTTCAAGCCCCACAACTGACCAAAAAAGAAAAAAAAACTCCCAATCTTTTTTCTTTCTTTCTTTCTGTGCCAGTCCTGGGGCTTGAACTCACGGCCTCGAGCTCTTGTTTGGCTTTTTCCACTCACAGCTGGCACTTTTACGCCTCCAGCTCCAGCTCTTTGCTGGTTAGTTGCAGATAAGAGCTCTTGATCCTCAGATCTCAACCTCCTGAGTAGCTAGGATGACAGGCGTGAGCCACCAGCGCCCATCTCGTAATGGCTATTTTTGCTATCCATGCCGGCCAATCAATATGTTCACTTGCTTTTGTGACCTTACATGCTTTAACTGTTACAGAAATCCACCGAGATTAGAACTGCCCAAAGTAGCCAGGACTATTTGGCTACAGAGTAGCTGTAACGTTGCAGGGAGCCGCCCACGGTGGGAGGGGGCTCAAAAGGCTACTGTGTTGATTGGCTAAAGAAGAACTTCCTCCAGGCACTTCCGCTTCTCGGCCCGCCCTGCTCGTCGCTAATTGGCTGGCCTGGCGGGCAGCAAGACATCTCGGGAGTTGTAGTTCTTAGAGCCTCAACTGGGTAGTCCGAGGGTAGAAAGAGTGCCAGGAGGTTCAAAGCACTTGGGTCTTTTTGTACTAGGTCTGAGCCCCTGGCACCATGTCCCGAGTCTCAGTGCCCTGTCACGTGAAAGGCACTGTATCCTTACAAGTGGGCGACATGAGGAGCTCCCAAGGTCGTCCTGGCGTGCTGGTCATCGATGTCACCTTCCCTAATGTCGCGCCTTTCGAGGTGAGAGAGCTTCGTGGGCGCGGCCTGGGCTTCTGGGCGGGGTCGATCGGAGAGCTTGGGCGTTTCCTAGGTTTTGAATTTCTTAAAGGAAAACATCTGAGGGTGTCTCTGGCCTGAATGAATGAGTTCACCATTCATTACTGTCTTTTTGTTATTTACTAGAGTTTCTGATCCTGTTCTCTTGAATATCTCTTCCCCTTGGACATCGCTGGCACGCAGGTGGTGCTGGAGATAACAATTTTATATATATATATATATATATATCCCCCTATCTCCCTTCCCTCCCCCCCCCCCCCCCCCACCTCCTTTCTGGAGATCAGAATGCAGTTTATCTCTTTTCCATGACTCCAATTTCAAATCTCCAATGGCACTTCCCTGTCAGCTAACAGTGACTGGACACTGAGACAGAAGTCAAACGCTGTGTCCGTGCCCACCTGCCCACCTCTGAGCACCATGCATTATGTGTGATTATCTCCCCAAGTGGTTCCTCACTGTTACCTGGGAAATCTGACCCCTGGAAAACTTGAGTTAACTAGGTTTGAATTATTGTTGTTATTGTATACTATGTTTGCATTACCTACCTTTGTTTGTTTGTTTGTTTTGTTTTTTTGGGTCAGGTCATGGAGCCTGAAAGCTGTCCCTCAGCTCTTCAGCTCAAGGCTAGCGCTCTACCACTTGAGCCACAGCACCACTTCCGGCTTTTTTTCTTTTTGCTTATGTGGTGCTGAGGAATGGAACCCAGGGCCTCTGTCATGCAAGGCAAGCACTCTACCACTGAGCCACCTTCCCAGCCCCAATTACCTACCTTTCTTGGTCCACTTGGTGAACTTGGCCTCCCTTGTATTTTTACTTGATCTCATATACATTTTGTACTTCCTCAAAGGTTAGGACTCTATTGGATACCCTTTTGGATGTGTGGCCAGATCTGTTGTTGTGGTCTGTATTAGTGACTTATCTATTCACTCTGTGAGCAACTTTAGAAATGCAAACGTGTCTTTGGGTCCTGGTGATGCTTTTTGAATTGTTTAGTAGAAGAGTATATTCCAAAAGAAATGAAATGATGGTGGTTTAGCAGTAGAGTGCTTGCCTAGCATGCTTGAAGCCCTGGATTCGATTCCTCAGTACCACATAACCAGAAAAAGCTGGAAGTGGTGCTGTGGCTCAAGTGGTAGAGTGCTAGTCCTGAGTTCAAGCCCCAGGACTGGCAAAAAAAAAAAAAGAAAAAGAAAAAAGAAAGATAGAGAAAGAAAGAAATGAAGCGGTGAGATCATGGAATCTCTTGGGCCCTGGTCCTCTTCCTAATTTTTCATGGTGAATTCTTGTTATCATGTGTATTCTAGTTGCAGGAGATCACATTTAAAAATTACTACACAGCCTTTGTGAGCATCCGTGTCCGTCAACACACCTCAGTGCACACACCAAGCAAATGGGTGACCTGTCTACGGAACTATTGTCTGATGCCTGACCCACACAGTGAAGAGGGAGCGCAGGATTATGTATCCTTGTTCAAGCACCAGGTCAGCTGGACCTCTGTATGGCCGGGACTAGCCAGGATGTGGCCTGCGGATTAGGCCAGTGTAGCAGGAGGAAAAAGGGGGCAAGACTGGGCTGGGTAGTGACTTCTAAGACAGTAACCTTGGAGGGACTATTTTTCCTTCCTTCGCAGAGGAAGGAAGGAAACATCTGGCATCTTCTTGGTATACTGCTATTTGGGAGGTTCTATCTTTTTTTGTTTGTTGATTTTGCTGGTCCTAGGGCTCAAGCTCAGGGCCTGGGTGCTGTCCCTAAGTTCCTTTTGCTCCAGGTTAGCCCTCTACCACTTGAGCCACAGTATCACTTCCAGCTTTTTCTGAGTAGTTTTTTCGACATAAGACTCATGGACTTTCCTGCCTGGGCTGGCTTTGAACCATGATTCTTAGATCTCAGCTTCCTGAGTAGTTAGGGTTACAGGCATGAGACACTGGTGTCTGGCTTGACCTGGGTTTTATGGGTTTCTGCGGATCCATTGTGTGTGTGTATGTTATGTGTTAGATGCTGTGTGACGTGTCCAAAATACTGGAGCTGCGTCTGATTCTGCGACAGCCATCACCACTATGGCTATCATTCACAGTGGAAGAGCTACAAATCTACCATCAGGGACCTAAGGTTAGTGACTAGCCCCAAATTGTTGCCTGGCCTGTTCCCTAAGAGACTTCCAGCTATGGTTGGGAAAGCTGCAACCATAGAGAGAGGATAAAAGGACTCCAAAACGAAGTCTTCAGGGGCTGGGAAGGTGGCTCAGTGGTAGAGTGCTTGCCTTGCATGCACGAAGCCCTGGGTTCAATTCCTCAGTACCACATATACAGAAAAAGCCAGAAATGGCACTGTGGCTCAAGTGGTAGAATGCTAGCTTGAGCCAAGCTCAGGGGCAAGTACCCAGGCCCTGAGTTCAAACCCCAGGACTGGCAAAAGAAAAAAGAAGCTTTCATTGAAATTTGAGTGTAAATACTGCAATTTATGATAAGGAATAAGTTTCTGTCTTCTGCATTTTCCTTATGTATAACAGGAGATCTTATTGCTGTCCCCTTGGGCTTGTGTGAGCTCCTTAATCAGGATTTTGCCATGTCTGCACAAAGGCATTTCTCAGCTGGGCACTGGTGGCTCATGCCTGTCATCTTAGCTACTCAGGAGGTTAAGATGTGAGGATCGAGGTTCAAAGCCAGCCCAGGCAGGAAACATCTGTGAGACTC